GTCACGGAGGTCCTGCCATGGAGCATGATCGTCGCAGAAATCTCAAAGCCCAGATCGATTCTTTCACATCCCAGCATTCTTTGACCATTGATGTTGATACTGATTACGTCACTTGTCAGGTGTGCCGGGCTCGAAACACCCCAAGGAATGGAAATCTTTGCCCAAAAAACTTGCCCTGGCAAGGATTCCGGTATGGCTAAGGCTTCTTCAGAGCAAGGCTCCAAAACCAAAGCTCAGCTTCGTGAGAACTTAATGCGCAGAAGGGGCAGAGCTGCTCCTTCGGCACCTGACTAAGGTACGACCGGTGGGGCTGCGCTCTATCGACAGATAGAGGTTAGCCTTCCCAGATTTGCCTGACTCCCTGCTGACCGCACTGTGCTGTCTTATTCCTAAGCAGCCTGATAAAACAGGGTCTCTAGAGCTGCAACCGGTGTCACTCATCAGTTTAGTGTACAGAGCTTGGAGTTCCATATGGACAAAAATCTTATTGGAATGGCAAGAGAATTGGATTCATGCCAAGCTCAGGGTTTTCGATGCAACTCTGGAACTGAGGACTTGTTCTGGCAACTGGCGGTGCGAGTTGAAAAAGCTATCTTGGCTGGTGATGAACTGTTTGTGGTAGCTTTTGATTTTCGCAACTGTTTCGAGATGATACCGCTTGGCATCCTTTTTGGCATCCTAACAGAAATGGGTTTATCTAACCGTATTCTTGCGCCGATGCAAACCATGTATGCTTCGTTCAAGAGACGTTGGAAGCTTTCCAAAAATGCAGTGGGGACAGGGTGGACCGCCACGAATGGCATTTTGCAAGGCTGCGGAGTCTCTGTGGTTCTTCTTAATTGCGCTACCACTCTTTGGCTACAAGCCGTTTCTTGTGAGTCAAGCCACGTGGTTATGCTGATGATATGCACGCTGTCTCTCAGACTGTGCCCGCTTTGCAGAAAATTGTAAAAATATGCCAATCTTTCAGGACAAGAAATTTGTCACGACAAGAGCTTCACCTTTGCCATCACGCTGCAGCAAGGAAGGCGTCTCGCTTCGGAGTCTCTCAATGGTCATATAGGGTAGGGTGGCAGTTAAAAGTAGTGTTGACCTTTTAGGAGTTACCATTGTCATGGACCAATCCAAGCATCAGCTCACATTGGTCAAGGCATGCATCGACTCCATTTGACCATCGCCAACGCCAGGTCTTTGAGCAGCTGCAATAGGAACTTTACTGAATGTTGCCTCGTATCATTCGGTAGCTTTCAAGCATTGGCCCAGTTTTCGCACTTGATTTAAGGGCCTAGTTAACTTCGAAATGCGCTTGCAGTGTCAAGGGATCAGACTGGTGGACCCCTTGCTCGGGTTCGCCAACTATCGACCAATCCAATTTTTGCAACCACAAAAATGGATTGGTCCTTGTTAACGAACCAAATTGCATCCCAACACGTGGCAACACTCCCTCCGCGACGAACACCGACTGAATGCATGGAGGACTCTCTGTCGCGGTCGTTCACTTTGCTGGTACATATCAAAGGGTTTATCGAGACCTGACCCTTGCATGGCTAAATGTTCTTGTTGCACAGGCAGACATTCTGCAGAAATGCTGCGTTAATGAGGAGCGTGGTTTGTCCTGACCCAACAGAAGACCCAGGAGTCAAGCTTACGGCTTAGGGGGGCTGCAAAACCCAGAAAGGACCCATCGTCACAAGAAGCAGTCAGGGGCTGCACAATGCCTGTGTAAGCAAGGTGGGCCGTCCTTACACCACATTTCGTGGGAATGTCCCACATCTGTGAAAGCCTGCCTTGCAGATAATGCCGAACTCCTCGGATCAGTTGCCTATATGCTTTCTTGCGCACGCCACTGTTCCAACTGATACGCAAATCTCTCGCCCCGACATAGACAATATCAGCAATGCTTTGTCGACATTTGGCAAGCGCATGTTGATGACGATTTAAGTAGTGACGAACATTTCCTGATCATTGACCCCGATACAAATGTGCAACAACCCGACGGTGACAACAACCCGATTACCTCAGCTGTTGAGTCTTTCCCCGTGACGACTGCACAGCGTTCAACACCCATGCATGGCTACAAACAGGCACGTCTTGAACAATTGGAGAAGTCGTAGTGTTTTGCCACAAACGTGGAGAATCGACATAGTTGTTCAGATTCAATGTCTTACGCCGGGCTTGTCAATCCCCTGACCTGCCCCAATCCGAATGGTTAGAAAAACCAGGTGCCATGCAGAACTCTGCGCGTCTTGAACAGGCCTGGATTGACCTTCATGAGAAACACAACAAGCCTGGGCACATTCTCTTTTGGAATCAGAAATGTGGCGAGAACATCAAGCGAGAAGATTTTGGCAGAAGTGAAGTGTGGCAGAGAGACACAATAATCTACCCAGAAATACGTGTAACATTCCCACCCAGCCATCATTGGCGCGTGAATGGAGACGATCCTGACCGCTTCAAATTTGAACCAGATATAGCCCAAAGCCTGTCATCGGGTTGCGAAATCTGGGTGAACGAAGTGCACAGGGAGGGCTCCTGCTGCATGCAGGATGCACCCTGACAAGCCACCACTACTTTTGGGATCCTGCTGGATCCGCGGCGCCCATACTCCTTCGTCAGATGCACGCACCGCAGGTGATGGACAATGGAGTGGTGAGACGGTGTGCGTCTCGCCTTCATTCATGGCCGTTTACCACAACCCGTGTGGTTGGTCATCGCTTGGCTGTTTGCCATCTTGATGGACTGCGCGTTCAATTCCCGACCATTTTGGTCTGCCACGTGTTGTGCCTTGAAGACTTTGAGTTTCTTCCTTAGGAAGTTAGCTGCTGCGTCAGGCCTTCACATCAAGTTCAGGAAACGTCACACTGTTCGACGACCTTGGGAGGGTATAGGCAAATTGGATGCCGCCGATGCTCAGCATTAGAACGGTCTTGTTCAGGCATAGGAACACTGTTCGGGTTTGCTGCTCTTCTGCTGTTGAGTTCAGTTGTCAGCGTGAGCTACTCGGTCACCGAGCCATGTCAGTCGAAAAAACAATGCACTCCTTGATGGGAAGCGGCGGTTCCAACAAAGGGAAGGGAAAACAAAGCAGAGCCGGTATTGTAAACAGGGCAAAGGACGTGTCAGAAATGGTCAGTGCTGTTCAGCAGCACGGAACGAAACTGAATGACAATGGCCTTCACAGAGCGTTTTCGAGCTGTGTTGCGCGCTGCAGCATGCTATCAGAACACGCCTCTGCTGCTCCAAGAGGAGTGGGAGGTCGATGATGTCTGTTCTCCGTCAGAGATCACCTCTGCAGGGAGGAGTAGCTTTTGCAGCTCCCAGATGCGCTCAAGAGAATAAGCTTCACTACATCGCCTGCCGCCATCGTACGCCTCCCATACAGTACGGCGGTTCGTTGCACCTTGCAGGTACGGAACATTGAGGGGCAAATTGCGTTAATTAGTTGAAGTTTGAAGTGGCCAAGCAGCGTCTCACACAGCTCGGCTTTGGTTCCCCCGTGCAGTTGTTTGTCTGTTTGTGGACCTTGTATTGAAGCGCCTCGGACGATGTTGAAGGTCGTCACCCGGTATATTGATTTCGCTGCACTTACCAACAGGACTGCCAACGTTTGAGCAAGTGTATACATGAGGCCTTCTTCTTAGATGCAAACACGAGACTGGACGGCAGTGCTACCGCCATGATTCAAGACTCCGTCGTGCAAACACTGCTTGAGGCCAGTGGCAATGACCGTATATATTTGTAACTGCGCACTTCCGAACCAAAGGCCGAACTGTACTTCTTACATTGGTTCGCCGAGAAATGTCCTCATGAGGCCATGCAGTTACACGCCGTGGTTTTGGCTTTCAAACGGGCCTCCAACGGATCCAGATATGGGCTCCATTGGCGCAGTTCTATCACTCTATGTTCAGGTCCCTTGAAATTGTACGTTCACAGGGGGTCGAAACTGAGTTGTATTGTTATCCAACAATGCTTGCAAGGCTTTGTATTCACACCGCTTCGCGGTCGAAGCCGCCCGCACAGAGTAAAGGGAAAACAGACACACGCACACAGACATAGACATCCACCCATGCAGACAGAGCCGCTACAACGCCCTCGGCACCTTCAGTGCGGATTTGACATCTGTTCTTCCACTTGTATGCAACCGTCCATCCCCAGGTCTTATGTCGATCATGTTTACTGTATTCTGGATATATCATTGCTGCCTTACTCTATCTCTCACATTGGTGTATAATAAATAATCATCACCAATTCCATCAAAGCCAACAAAGGACTCCGTTAACAGCTTTGGACAATTTATCACTGCGGACGTACCACTTCATGTCTTATCCCAAGTCATATGGCACACCACTTCCACATCGAATTTTGCAAAGGCTATCTAAAGATAGGAACTGTGTGAATGCGCCCCAGCACGATTACGCCCCTCAGCGCGTATTTGAGCGGTGAAGCCGCTAGCACTTCCTGGTTTTCAACGTCCTCATGGCCACGTAAACCTTCTTTGCAAAATATGTGCTGGAATATGCTGAAGTACTTACTTGTCCATGATAGGGAAGGCCATCAGCACCCGCAGGGACCTTTATGATGCAGGATGAAAGTTATGAGTTATGAGGACGACCCTGGTAGCGGAAAGAATACGGATTTGTGTTTTGGCTTCAAGATGTAGCAGCCTCTGACTCTATGTTGTTGATGACTAAGACAGTAGAAACTCTATTGTATAAAATCGTTCAAAACTATACACCTCTAAATGCAAGAAACCTAAGAGACACCCTATCTCGAGAAATCAAGGCCTTATCTCATGAACAATCCTTTTTGGGCATGTCTCGGACCAACCTCTTTTGAGAGGTGTAATTTCCAGGGCCACATCAACCCGGCAAAACACTGCTTGGGATGGAGGAAACATCATAGGTCGGGGTCCGCACTCATGTCTTGGGATTGAAGCAGCTTTGGCGAATTGAGTGAACGCCCGCAGGGTTCCTACGTAGCAAGTTGTGCTCTCTGCAGAGGAGATCAAAGCCAAGGCAACCAAGAAGAAAAAAACACAAGGACTGTTCCGAAAACGAACAACTGGGGTGACCTGCTGGTTTTTGCATCCGCAGTCTTCACTGGCAGATCATATCAGTTTGTTTGATATCCAAATTGTTAGTGAATTTTAAAGGTATTTTTGAGCTCCAAGTGGGGCTGTTCGAAGAGGGTTTTTTTGTCAATGCACCAATGGATGTAAAATGATGTAAATGGTACAGGGGACGAACCGCGAGGTTTTTGGGATCTTCAAATCATGAGTGGGGCATTGCGTGCACTAGGCTCTAGTGCCGATGGATAGCCGATTCTCTTCTCCCTTTCCGACCCTTCCACTCCGCCGTCTTGTGGATAGCCTGTACGATGGTGTTGATTGCAGTGTTGCTGTTTTCGCATATTTCGCAATTGTCCGAGAAACACGAGTGCTCTAAGTTTTCGCTCCCACTTTGGATTACGTGTTTGCAGCTGTTTCTACAAGGAAATCATATTCTTGCACGTTTCTTTAGTTGGTGAGTTGGTTTCTGACAGATTGTTTGGCACACTTTGATGAGTCTGATTGTCGTGACAGGATTGAAAACTTGGTAGACTTGGGCGAGCACCATCACCTATTCGAGGAACATACATGTTAACACTGTTAAGAGTTGTGAGCCCTATGTCATCTCTGTTGGCAAATGCAGTTGAATCACAATATAGCCGTGGAGTTTACTTCACTTGTTGCAGGAGCCGAAAATCCTACAAAATGGTATTGGTTATATATGCGTTGTGGGATAGTTTTGATTGGAATATTTCTTTCACATATCAGTTTCCCTCTTGTGTATAGTTGTAGCTTAGTTACCCTGTAGGTGGCCATCCAGAAAAGGTGGAGCTCCTACTTCTTGTACGTACCACGGTTTGGTATGGTGCTCCCCTAGTTGGTGCAAGACGTTGGTGCACGCTTGCTGCATCAAGTGTGTTGATTTTTTGGCAAGCGGTAAATAGCCTCCCTCAAGTACCCAACGGCGGCCATTTCATGTCCAGCCTGAAAAGAAAAACCTCAGGAGAGGAGAAGAAGGCCTCCAAGAAAACGAAGGTGGAGAAGGCTGGTAGCCCCGAACATGGATTTTGCACCATTGTTTGGAGCAAAGCGAAACGCCAAGCGAAACAGCCATCGACCTCACGGTATCGACCTCACTCGTTGGCTGGAAATCCCATGAATCCAATGCGTGGCCAATGAACTTTCCGAAGCACTCGTCGTAGAACTCTGATCAGGTGAGATGTGGCACTCTACCAAGCTGTTTTTTTGGATAGGTGAGCGACCGGAACATGCACGTGTGAGAGATCTGGATTTGGTGTGTGATGTGTGTGGATGGAACATTTGTGATACTTGTGCTTGGTGTGCTTCATGAGTTGCTTCATGTTTGTTGCTATATGGCATGAACTGATGTCGGGTCTTGAATTCCATATTGCATGCTGCATGAGGAAAGTTTACGTCAAACAGAGATCCAGTTCCACATGAAACCATGCCAACGTTCTTGTTGTGGTGCTTCAAGACGACGTGTTCTCCCCGTTTGGTGTGGCCTGGTGTGCCACACTGAAAACGTTGTTTTCTTCGGGTGTCGGAGTGGAACGGAGTCGAAGGCATAGGTTGATTGGAGCGTTGTTCATGCTATGGCAATGCCAGTGAATGCCCCAGGATGTGTGGGTGGTCAACACATGACGAGAAGTGAGAATAATTATGGGTTAAAAATGGTTTAACAATAATAACTAACAGTAATGATATGTCACCATTTGTCACCATAATTATGAATTTGTGAGAATAATTAGTCACCACAAATTAAGTTTATGTCAACATTCTGATCCCTCTTTGCTTTTGCAAAAAGGATAGATCAAATCCCACGGGACAGATATAGATATCGTCAAACTAGACTCAACCGTCACACCTCGGTAGACTGGCGCCGTACTTGCGCCGGAGTGGATGGAGTCGATGGCACTGAGCACAGCCCCACCTCGAATACCTTTAGACAGAGAATATAGCTTGTGTTTTAACGTTCTTTTGCTCATCCATTGGAGCTACCTGAAGCATGTGGCCCCAAACAGCTCCACTGTCTTTGCAGGATGCCGGCCTCCATTTACCCCAGGTGCCCAAAGAAAAGATCAAGGCACAGGGGTTGTCGCTGCACCGGGGGGTCATAAACCTGCGGGTTGGTGCTTCATGGTGCTTCGTGTAGCGAGGGAGGTTTCAAAATTGGAAGACTGATTCACACTGCATCACTGCAGAACCCATCGCATGTTTGGCAGTAGATTTACTGGTCTTGGGCTCGTATTTCTCTCCTTGGACCCGGAAGGAGTCCTGATTTTGTGACAGAACTTTTATGTTTTTGTTTGTTGAAAGTGGACTTTCTGAGGTAGTTGGTTGTTGGGTGTCAGTGACTGATCCGAGTGTCGGGATTTGCACCATTTACTTTCCTAGCTGTTGAAGGTGCACGTTGTTCTTTTTGGTGTTTTGCTGTGAAGCAAGGTTGGCCACATGTCCATCCCCATGTTCGCAGGTATTGTATTGATACGTTGTACTATCCACATTAACTTTCCAGATGAGTGACCAGCAGAGTTCCAGAATTCCTTGGTCTTCATGATCCATCGACAAGTGTTTGAAGGACATGCAATCGCTGAAACACCATGAAACATCTACCTGTTGGTTCAAGTGATTGCATTCCGGCTGAGCCCACCCGAGAGGGCATGTTCAGACCGAGCCAGACTCTGTTCGTTCATTGTATATATATATAATCTTTTTTGGAAGCTCCAGCTTCACCAAAGGTCTGGAAAAATATGGAAACATGTTGAAGCTTGAGTCACATTGTCACACACACACTGGGTGCTCTTCGAGTTTTTGGTATGGACTTTCTCGGATGGTCGCATCACTTGAGTCAAACTCTTCGCATCATTGTCAATCCGATTTGCAGTGTTAAGCACCAGCCTCCTGACATTGGCCACCTTCCTTGACCATACTGGGACGTTGTTCATTCCAGCCATGGCCCCAAATGGCATGCTTCGCTTCAAGGGAGAATGAAAATCAAGATCAACAGCTGTGACGGATGAAGGAAGAAGAACAAATGAGTCGTTTAAACCTTCCTGGCTTCCCTTGTTTTAACCGCTCCAAGCCGAAGAGACATCGGGGTTTTGGTGGTTGCACCGTGCTTTTTTGTCGAGAGAGGGAGGTGCCGGAACCCGATAGAGGGAGTGCAAGGAATTGGTCAAATATTTCATTGATTGCTGTCTTCCGGTGGAGGCTGTACTCACAAAACACCAAAGTATCCCAAAGAAGAGTGCTGCGCACGTGTCCTACTTGGGATCATCTCATTCGCGACCCAAAATTGGTCGATATTCTTGGTGCCCTGTTTCTGAAGTCAGATCCTGTTTGTTGATGCTTTATTGGTACTCAAAGCGACAAGCGTTCGCACAAACGAACACGCACAGACTACTTACTATTCTTCTTCGCCTTGCCCGTATAGGTACATATATATATATACTTGTTTGACCGGTGAAGGCCTTTCCACGATCCCAACATATCTCAAAAGCAAGGGCAATAGTTATAAAAAACATCACAAGGTGGGGATCATCACTTGTTGATGTGTGGCATGTGAACGGTCACGGGGGGGCTCGGGGCTGAGCGGAATCCCAGTCACACATCAGTGAGGTGAAGAAGAAGACGGAAACCAAGGAGCCCGTGCTGGGCATGGGATAGTGGACCATTCAGGAGTGACACAATTAAGAACTGTTTATTGTGGGCGTGTTTTTCATGAATTGGATTAACCTTGGATATCATAAGTTATCATAAGATTGCATGAGTTTTTTCTCACTGGTCTAAGCTCGTTTGACCCAGCCCTACATTGAATGTACGAGGGCTCTAAAGACTCTAAGGTTGACTGGGCCAGATACTATCGATTTGCTCCATGCCATGCTGAACGATGCCAACACCTGCCCAGATCGCGTTTTGGAGCATTCCTTTTTGGGGCCACTAGAAGTAGTGACACATTTGCATGCTTTTTCAACCAGAAAGGTGGAGGGTGGCTGGACCAATAGGTATAGAGGAAACGCCTGGGCTTGGTTTTGTCGATGAATGGTTAACTGGTCGTGGTTCCGTGTAGTACCTTCTGACTCTTTAACATGGAAGTGGAAAACCATGCAAAACCACCTGTTGTTGCAGGAACATGAACTTCCCAGCCATTCTCCACGTCCCATGTTAGGCGATGTTGGGGAGTCGGGGCGTACTTACTCCCAGGGAAATTCAACAACTTCGCATGGTTTGGGTGTTTTGAAGGGGGCGAACGACGAATGCCGTTAGGTGATGCCGGGATCGCAGCGGCGCTTGGGATGATGACATGAACATATGAGTCAAAGGAGTTGAACGAGTTCAAAAAATTGCGGAGATTTAAGCTGTGAGACTCAAAAAAACACAGAAGAGGAATTTCGGAAGAGTACTCGCTTAACAAATATTGAGGGATTCCTTTGGTCTCTTACACTATATAGGGTAGGTATAGACCATATATGACCATATGTCGACTATTGTCGACTCATACGAACACCCGCAGAGTCGCAGAGCTCAATCAAATCATGTCAACAAAACCAAGACCAACATCTACTGACCACAAGACCAACACACCACAAGACCAACACATCACAAGACCCCACGTGGTGGGACGTGGTGGTCAAACTTAACTGGTTTGTGTTGTCCCCTCTTTTGCGTCTGGGTCAAAGCCACTGGTGATTTGTTGCCAAAAGAGACACGGTTGAGGAACCCTGACTGATAGAGTCTCATGGTGTTCGGAATGCAGTTGAACTTGAAACCAGCAATCACAGGTCAGGTTCACCGGCCAACTTGGGCGACATATAGGCATACCTCTTGCCTATGCAAATGTGATTAATTATGTGGTGATCGTTGGTGGTATTGCTTGCAATGTGCTTATTGTTTTGCTTCACTGTTTTTTGGAAGGTTGGTGTGAAGTCAACCCAAGATGTGACACATAGATTAGCCGCCAGCCAACAACGGGTGAAAAGAAATTAGTGGGATGTTTACCATGGATTAGCCCCATCAAGAGGTCCAGAAGGGCTGGGGCGTTTTCCCTGGACCGAGAATCGACTGGGTCAGCCGCAATGAGTCGACTGTGCCAGGAGAAAGAAAAGAAGGAAGTCAGGGAGAAGAAGGAAGAGAAGGTCAAGGACCCTAGTTGACCCTACGAGTTTTGACCAAACCAGGTCCATTTTCTCAGCACTGCGTGTTCAACATTTCGGATCTGGAGGATTTGTTTGTTTGTATCCATTGTGACTGATGTTGCAATTGGTGTTCATTTCTACGAGTTCAATAGGGCACTACAACTGCACATTCTTGCTGATGTCATGAGCAAAGCACTGGCATGGGTTTCCGCCGAAACTGTACAAGGTGGATGCACCTCCATCTTCAAGAATTATCCATTTGCACAGCTACACGGGACCTGGACCCTGTAAAGATTCCGTGGAGAACAGACTTCTGTCTGAGGGTCGCGCACGTCCTGCAGACCCCGTGCCGACCCCAAAACGAAGCGGTCGTCGGACGTTTTGCCGCTTTTTGCTAAATGAGCTGCACAGAAACCTGTGACAGTTGAGTTTTTGCGGGGTGTTATAATGATGTTTGGGACAGTCATGCCTGCCATTGGCACCTCAGATGTTCACCCCATGCATCACCAATGTTTGTTAAATTGATCGTTATTGAGACACGTTGGTTCGTGCAGAGGAGATGTCAGAGCTGAGAACTTCAAGTTCAGTTTAAGAATACGTGTTACACTTTATATGTCAATGTCCAATCTAGACTGTTGAAAATTGTTGAGAAAAGCACAATTATATACTAGGTGAGTGCTCATGTCAGACATCCCTTATGTTCAACCGACACATCTAAATCTTTGTCTGGAGTGGCTGGGGTGGCCTGCCTCCGGCGTCGACGGTGCCATCCACTTGAGCCATTCCACCCGATGTTCTTTTGGGGGGACCTGTGCACCTCACAGAGACCTGAAACTGTCAAATGACCATGATGGTGACGACACATTGACACCTAAGTGACACTTGAGACGTGTGAAACTCTTAACTTTGGAGGCTCCTGTTATTATGTTGGGCCATCGCTCTTAGGTTGGAGGCCATCGCTAGTAGGTTGGAGGCCTCTCATTCGGGTTCACGACGAGGGCCATTGACCTGAGAAGAATGGCTTCTCCCTTTCGTCGGGACTCCAGGAGACTTCCGCTAGGAAGAAGAGCTTGGACAAAAAGCGGAGCAAGGCGAGTCAGAAACTGACACGGCACGCGATGGCGGAAGGCGGTCGCCACAAACATGTCACAATTGCAAGGATCTTCGTTGCTGCCGCTGCCGCCGCCGCAGCCGCTGCTGCGCTGGTTTGCTGCAGCTGGTTTGCTGCAGCTGGTTTGCTGCAGCTGGTTTGCTGCAGCTGGTTTGCTGCAGCTGGTTTGCTGCAGCTGGTTTGCTGC